TAGGAGCGAGGTGGAAAGAGGGTTGAGCGGCATCGAGCCCGGGCCTGAGGAGATTTCACCTGAGGTAGCTGGAGTCGGGGACAGGCTCGAAGCGTGAGGGGAATCGCCTGATAAACCGACCGATAAATGCGGCCCTGATCAATGCGAAGCAATTCACGTTTGGGAAAACGCCGATATAAGTGACGCCGGGGCGTAAATGAGCATTTGGAGGTCGTTCTGGACGGTGCTCCCAGACTGTCAGCCCTGTCAGGGCCGTAAAGGAAACAACACCGGGGACGGTGAGGGAGACAGCTTGAGAACAAAAAGGAATCGTAAAGAGAGACTACGCAGATCCTTACTCTTAAAGGGGGGGAAGACCGAGGAGGGCTTGGATGGGCGTCTGTAAGATCATGAATGAACTGAAAAAAATTCATGGAATGATTCTTCATGTTTGCAGTGTGGAACTGAGAGGTGCTTAATTATGAAAAAGCACCTCTTTTTATTCTTATATTTGATAAAGAGAATAACAAAGCATTTCAACTCACTGCTATATGCTTGTAGGTCAAAGATATGTAAATAAGTTCAAAGAAGGATTAGAGAATGACTACCGAGCATGTTGATTGGGACATGAATTCCAGATTAATAGACCTCCTAATAGCAGACTCCTAGCAGACCGAAGGAGGCTTTCTATAGCCATGCTCTGTTCTTTTGCTCTTCCCTAGACACCTGTATGCACAGCCATCTTTTATGTCACTCCTTTGTTGTGTTTAGTCTGATCCAGTACAGCAGCTCTTATGTCCAAAGCATTCAGGCTGCTGGCCGGGGAGCCACCGTGGGGATGCCTGCCTGAAAGCAGTGTCCTGGGTTTGTTGCCTGAAAGCCAAGGCCTCTCCGGCTACCTTTTTGACTGGTACTAACGTAAACCTGCTACGTCTTTGGTGAGAGGAATTACTCTGCAAAAATAAAATAAAAAATTAATAAAGTTCGTTTCATCAAATCAGCTTCTATGTCCAAGTACAATGCCATTCTGGGAAACTTCTCTGGCTCTTATTTGTTATACCTTCACATCTAATGGTGTCTTCAAAATTGTGCTTTTTTTTTCTGTTTAAGCAAACAGACGTTTACTGGAAAAAATCTGTTGGTTAAGTTTTCTCATCGTGCTTTCTTGCCCTGCCTGAACATCATCTTTGAGCAAACTGATATTTCTGAAAAGATTGTTCCTCTTCCCTCCCCCCTGTAATTCAAACTCTGCTCTGCCTTGTGAGCAATATCCCAATAATATGCAATAGCATTTTATGTGATTTAGCGTTTTGCTAAATCTAGAGATTTCTTTTTCCTACATAAGGCTTAGTTTTAGCTTGGAAAATAAGAGTCAGTTTGTGGTTTAAATCACCTACAATGAGGTAACTGGCTTGGTGGACAAGGGGAGAGCAGTGGATGTTGCTTATCGGAGGGAAATTATCAATGTGTATGAATACCTGATGGGAGGGTTTAAAAAGACAGAGCCAGGCTCTTCTCAGTTGTATCTAGTGAAGGAACAAGAAGCAATGGGCACAAATTGAAATACAAGAAATTCCATTTAAACATAAGGGAGGAAACAAATGCAGTGAGGATGGAGCAGGTTGTCCAGAGAGACTGTGGGGTTTCCTCTTTGGAGATACTCAGACCTGGAATGGACAATGTCCTGAGCAACCTGCTGTAGCTTTGAGCAGGGGCGTGGACGACATGATCTCCAGGAGTCCCTGCAGACCTGAGAGCCTGTGATTCTGTAAAATGCAAAAGCTGAGCAGTTCTGCGTAGATCTCTCTCTTTCTGATTGTGAAACTTAATTGTAAGTTTTACAAATCACTTAATCCTTGCTTAGGCAAGGGTTTCTCTTACAACGTTGCTGGCTGAGGTTTAGCAAGCGGAGAACAAAGTAACGTGATAAATGCTGACAGGTTGCTTATAGCTCTCCTGTAAGTATAGTTTGCGTAGTTATTGATGGAGTGATGCATGTAGATAAAGATCATCATTCAAATCTAGGAAATAGCACAGAAAATTGTGTGTATTGATCTTACAGTGTTGATTCTGCAGTACTTTTGTTTTGTGGTCTTTGTGAGGTCCATGGGAGACTGAAGTTATGAGGAATATTAACCTGGTATTCAAAGCTCTGAATTTTGTTGGGGTTTACAAGAAATGTTAGGCAATATTAAGTCTGTGTTAGCACTGGCCTCCTGTCAGTGTGGGTTAATTCATTTTATCCTCTTATGCAACACTTCTGATAAGTGTTGTAGTTTTCTGCGCTAGTGGGAGTTATTTGCATTGACATATGATATTCTTGGGGTGAGTTCCCTCATCCCAAGACTGAAAAATTGTCTTGTGTGTCAGAGCAAACTAGCAAACTTTGTATTGTGTAACGTTTGATCACATTTATCTCCAACAGTTACCAGAGTCTTAACTTTAAATAAAAGGCTGTCTAACCAGTGAGACTTAAACTGTTAGCACGATTGTTTTATAATATGATCTATAACAGGAAAACGTGGACTTGAGAGGCCTATTACACCTCAGTGCATTTCTGTGACTAGAGAAAGATGGAGAGAAAAATTACAGCGTCTAAGGCTAGTATCCAGTTGTGGTTTTATGCAGTTTTCTTACTGAGGTTCATTAATGTTTTTGGATTTCAGTACTGTATTTTATAGGAAAAGCACATCCTTCAGAAATGGACAAGATCTATGCAGACCCTAACATGGAAAAGTAAGTTGAAACCTTCTAAGAATTTTATTGTGGTATAATACAAATATTGTCGTTTAGAGGCAAAACTTTTCTTAATCCCTGTGTGCACTTCAGGATCTCTTGAATGAAATGTGTTTTCCATGGTGAAGAAGAAGAACAGGGCATTTCTTTGATCGTGTGTAGGAAAGCTCTGAGGAAATTTCGTAGCAGCGGATTGTCTGGAGACTAACTGACCATAGGGTTTGGAGGGCAATCTGCTGACTTTTCCAAAGCTTATTTTTGGGAACTAGTGCTGGAATGAATGCTCTATTCCAAGCAAGTTTGTTTCTTTAATTTCACAATTGTAAAAACAAGGGAGAAATCAATTTATTAACCTTAAAAACGTGGCAGTACTGTTCAAGAAATACATCTTGGTTCAAGTTTATGCCCTAATACCTGATTCCCTTTTTTCTCCTCCAGTGATAATACGGAGCACATCAGAGGGAAGCGACTGTCCTCTGTGAGTAACTTAAGGCATTTCTCAAAAGAAAACCATGTGAGTGAGTGAAGGAAAGAAAGGGAAGCTGTAAGGAGGAACTTGTTTTCTCATCACAGTTGAAGAAAAGCATTCCAAAAGCAAAGAAAGAGCCTATTAGATTGATATGATTGACTGGGGCACCGGTGGCTCTTATAAACTCTTTCCAGCCAAGTAATCAGTTCTTGTAGTTGGAGCTGATCTTCTCAACTGTCATATTTTCTTTTAGATTTTAAAGGCTCCGCGAAATCCTCTTGATGATCTGGGAAATGGGAATGAATTGACACAGGTAGGTCTATTAAGTCCTTTCTTGCCAATGCTCTTAACTTCTTCAGTTTGTTCCTCAACTTGTCGCTGATTAAACTGTGTCACTAGAATAATGCAGGTGTAAAAACTCTTGTAATAACTGCTCAAGAGGATGTTTGGAGTACTAAATATTATAAGAAATTCATTGAGTTTTTCTTATACTTCTATTTTACATCAGAATATTTCTTCTATCAAGAAAAAAGGAATAAACAGAGATTAATAGGCCTAACTTGCTCCTGCTGTAGTCCATTTCACTTGCAGTTTGATCCACCAGTGTACAAACTGGTGTAGTCAGTAAGATGGTTTTACATCTGAAAAAAACCCCAGCCTGCCAATTTATTTAAATAAAAGCTAAAAAATAAACACTTTCTTCCAGAAATACATACAGAATATATTTCATGTTTATAGTGTCTGTTGTTTCTTAGAAATTGTAAGTATAGGCCTGTTCAGTTTGGATTTCTTTTTAAATGCAATTTCTACCTAGGGTGTGTTCTATGGACTAATGTTCTAGTTGCATCGTATATTTATATGATTTACTTGTTGCCGATTACAGAACTTGAAAACTCATTTTTAGCATATAAGGCTTTCAGTGAAAAAGCCTCTAATAATTTCTTTAGAATACGAAATATGAGCCTGAAATATTTATGCACAACGCACCTGTTTCAAAACTGGGTTGAGTATGAAGAGCGGCTCGCAGTCTTCATTTGAACTGTAATACCTGTTAACAATGATGGACTGTACTGCTAATGAGCAACAGAAGACTATCATATACAGCAGTGAGACATCATTCATAACTGCTTGTGTTGCTGACATGATTTTTTTTTTTAAAAAATTAAGTATTTTACAGGCTTTGTTAGTCGTGCACATATAACGGGTAGTGCCTGGTATGTTAATACTTTGTGTTTTCTTAAACAACGAGTGTTCCACTGTCCTGACACTGAGCTGTTTAGTTAGGGAAGCTTATTGCAGACAACTGCACAGCAGTGGTATGATGAGTTAGCTTTCCAGTACCTGTAATATTGCATCATTACATACCTTGTAACATTGCATTAGTATGATCATCTAGTCAGTGACACCATTTGAACATTTCTATAGGAAAATGGTGACTTTGATTCTTTCATGAATCCTTCCCTTTCTCCCATAAAGACAAACCATTATTACTACTTTTTTTTTTCAGTTCTTGTAATGGAAAACTAAAGAAAAAAAATCCTGCAACTCTCTTGCTAAGCAACTACATATACTTTCCCTAGTATGCCAGACAAACGCCAGACAAAAATCCTTATAACTGGTATTCTGCCTCTTGTGTGTGAAACCAGGCTGTTCTCACAAAGTGATCTTTAGATCCTACTTCTTATGAGATGGGTGTCTTTATGTCAGGAAAAGTTGGAGAACCATGACGTAGTTTAAGGATGTTGGTAAATATCTGTTGTACTTGTTGGGCTTACAGATTATTATTTTGAGGGGGGTGTGGTTTTTTGTTTGGTTTTGTTTCTTGAAAAGCTATGCTTATTGTGGCTTATGGGATAAGAACAGTTCTCTGTACATCCAAGTGTTGTGTTCTTTATTGTCAGGATATCAATATAGAAAAACGTAGGAAAAACTCTCGTCGTGTCAGCTTTGCGAACACCATAAAGTAAGTTTGATCTGAAGGATGCAGATCTACATCCTTTATTTAAGCATAAAATGCAGGCTATGGGTAATAATCTGGTGCCCCCTAAAATTGCTGTTTACATACGTTTGTGAGTATTCAGTGAAGGCAAACCGGTGACTGTTATATTGAGTTGATATTGAGCCCTAAAAGAGCCATTATTCATCTTCTCTTCCTAGCTAGAAAAAAAGGGTTCAGTGAATTTAATATAATCAGGAATTTTTGTTTCCTATTAAGTTTTTTAGTGATTTCCATCTTAAGTATGATAATAGCATCTTCCTGCTGGAAAATATGGTTGGGTTCAGTAAGCTTCTGGCTTTTGATATCTCATTTCAGGACATACCATGTGGAAAAGATTGAAATTAGGGCTGGTTTTTTTTTTTACTTTTTTTTTTCTTTGCTTCAAAACAGATGGTCTTGTGTTTTTCAAAAACTGGGTTGTTTTGTTTTTTTGTTCCTAGCTGCAGAGTCTTCCAGCGAGATCTTAAGAATAACACGTCAGAGAGAGAAAGTACAGGTAAAACTCCTTTCTCTTCTCCTGATAGGATTTGCAGACCATTAGCAACAAGCTTTTAGCCTGAACTGAAGAAGTCAGGCCTGTCAGTCACAGGTAAGGAACAATGTGGTCAGCCGTTTATCATGGACTGGCTGAAAATCCCTTAGTTACTGGTATTGTGGACCTTGTAGCTCAGAAAAGGAATTATTTTCTTAGACAAAATGCACCTAGAACAAAATCTGCTGTGGGGATTTAGATCAAAAGAAGGCTGAGCAGAATGTCATATTCACTCTGTCAAAGATTACCTAGGAAGACTCTGAAAAGCTAATGCATTTTCAAGTACTTTGCTTCTCTGGGTTTTTGCCATGATAAGAAGGCACACTGAGAGTGAGAACTTCAGAACATTCTTTTCTGTGCAGTTTACTCTTGTCTCTGAATGTTTTGATCATGCTTCTCACATTGTAATGTCTAATTTTCTTACTATTTTTAGAGTGTGCAGCAGATACGAGGAATGATGTCCTGCTTAATCAGTAAGTTTGAAAAAAAATTCCCATGACTATAGAGTTCTGTCCTGCCAATACATTTCTTCACATGATGTGGAACCATCAAAATATTACTCCTCAAAGAAATGCAGCGTATGTATTTATTTAGATATAAAATTGCTCAGTGCTTTTGATTGGTGAAAGAAGGGATACAGCAAAAAAAGGATATAGCTGTGTTGGTCACTCACAAAAAGATAGCTGTTTCTGAATACCTGAACAATTATGGCTTGAAAGTGCTTCCTTCCAAAGCTGATTGCATGGGAATGTTTTCCAGGAAAGACCTACCAGATTCCATATCTGCTAGACATAGTCTTCAATATTTATTACTATAACTTTTTCCCTCAGAGGTAGATAAAGTGTTAGCCTGGCCTCAAAGTTCTTGTCTAGGTAAAACACGATGATGGGATTTTTAAAATTAAAATGACCTGGTAAGTAAAATAACAGATTTAGGCAGTTTCTATGTATGAAGGGGAATTTCTTACATTTAAAATGTATCACAAGGAGACAGCTTATGTACAACTAGTTAATTCATGCTTTTGAAGGTATCAACCCAATATAGTAACATATATATATATGGGGGGGTGTGCGCGCGCATATATATAAAAATAAAAATCAGTACTCTAGCTAAGGTTTCTTGGTCTTGAAAGAGCAATCAATAAAACAGTGGAGAGCAGAAGGCATTACAAGTTAGATGGAAAACCACACAAGGTGGTCGTTGTGTCTGGCTTTTTGTTGTACAGAACTATGATTTCAGGCTTTAGGAGCACAACTTCAGTTTCCCAAAGAGAAATGAATAACTAAAAGTGGAAGGTCTGAGTAAAAAATAAAGAATTATTCTTTTCTCTTCTTTTTACTTGTCACTGAGGAATTAAAATGCCATCTGTATGTTGAACAATGGCTTGTGGCATGCTAAGATGAGAGAATCTCATGGGAAAATAAGGTTGCAACTCAGATTAGAATACATTGAAGACACAGAAGTAGTGTCTGGTATCTGCTGTCCAGTCCCGTGTGAGCTATGCAACAGAATTCTCTGCCTTTTCAGTATATTGCTGAAGCCTTCTGTTTTGAAATCTTTTAACAAACTGTTTAACTAACCCACCTTTTGCAGAAATGAAGAACCTGAAGCTGTTCCGTGTGAGATCACTGGTGAGTCTGGAAATAGATTTAATAACAAAATGACTATCCTTATTCAAAACTATTGGTTCTGTTTGAATAATTTTAACATGCCTAGAACAATCTCCCTGACTGAGATGACTAGTGCATGAACGGGCTTTGTCCCGTAAAGCTGTTTACAAGCATTGTATTGTAGAAGTATGGGTGGCTCTTCCACACGCTGAAGGGAGTACTGAAAATATTTTTCAGGATATATTTGGTTTTAATTGTACTTACTTACTCAGTGGTATTTGTAAAACGAGTGCACAGATCTTCAGCTCAGTGGATAAAATAATAAGAAAATAGCGCAACAAATGGAGTATTTCCTTTTCTTTCAACAGGGATGAACACTTTGCTTCATGCCCCTATCCAGGCATCGGTGCAGCAGACTGAGGTATATGAAGGCTTTTATTTTTTTTGGTGCTGAAAATATCAGTGTCCAAAACATATTCCAATAATTTGTGTAGTGAAGATGAAAAATGTAACTCAACTGCCTAAAAAAGAAATCCTTGTCTTCACATAAAATTCTTCTGAAAGCTAATCTATATTTTGAAGTCTTTTCCTAATTGATAGGCATAATACTGCAGTATTGATAACTCCGGCTTCTATAACTGCTTGCTAATTTTTCAGTACCTGAGCTAGTTCCTCCATTCTTTTCAATTTTTATCTAAGAATATGCAAAGTAGCTTATGTTTCAGATAGGTCTGATTATGGTTTTTTCCCTCATGTATTACTCTCTGCTTATGTATTTTTTTTCTTCTGTGGGTAGAATGGATATGCACAAATGTACTCTCTGTTCCTGCTGTTAAAAAGCTTTAGACAAATTGCAATGATTAGCATGAAAAGGTAACTGAATTTCTTCAGCTGAATCAAGTAATAACGCACCAAATTCTTAGCTAAGACCTTCACAGACACAATTGCACAGAAATCCTGAACTGTGTTACACTTCAGTCATGATGTTATGGCACTGTGTTATTAAACAAAGCAATTGTCAGAACAGTCTCTCTTACTGCAGTGGCTTCTCACTTTTATGTTAGGTTTAAAGATATGCCTTAAAAACATGTTAGTTCTTGTTAATGAATGTGAAAAACCAAACCAAAACAAAGAAACCCAGTTAAAATCTAGTGTGGATGAGAAGATATATACCATGAAGCTCTAAAGGTCAGATTGAAACTCTGTCTCTCCTTGTTTTGGGTAATGTATATGGTTGTGCTGCTTCTAGTATATTTTATTTCTTGCATTTATAAAACAGCATATGTAATTTGAAGTAAACATGAAGCTGTTCTTAATCAAGATATTCATTATATTTGATAAAATATAATATATCTTGTTACTGGCCAATTTTTTCCTACAGCTTTAAAACTGTAAATCCTCTTTATTAAAGAGACTAAAATCTCCCTAGTCAGTGGCAGAAACATCTTTTAAAACTTCCAACTTGGTGCTGCTGCTTTGGGGCATGTGCATGATAAGCTGGGCAAGGTTTTTACCTGCAGTTACGGTGGAAAAAAAAAGGTGGAAACCACACTGTAGAGAGATAGAAAATACTGATCCATAAGACTCAGTAACTGTTCCAAGCTTACCAAGATATGTCTAGATATGAAATCTTTGCCCAACAGTAAAACTGAGACACGTTCTTTCAAAAAAAGCCATTTAAATATGATATGCTGTAATAATTAAGTCGTCAACCTTCCCTTGAATGTGTTACTGCTTATCGAGGAGGACTGAAATCAGTAATTTTTTTTTCCAGAAAAAAAGATGTAAAGCTAGAGCTATAACCTTAGGACTGCATCAGTTGGCTTTTGCTTTAAATAGAATAAACCATTGTATCATTTGTTTTAAGTGTCAGTAACTGTAATTTCTTCCTCCTTTTTATTTTAGTGGCATGATGTGGACAACGCCATTCAAAGAACAAATAGGCATGACACCACCCTCATCTTTTCAGATGAAAATGAAATGGATATGACAGCTAGTCACACTGCAGTGATTACACGTAACCTGAAAAACACTCAAACTGATAAAACTGAGAAAATAGATATCACATCATTTCTGGCTGGATTAAACTCTAACAACGAAAAGGCAGAAATGAGCAAAGAATTTCATTTTTTCTCTGACCCTACAAACCATCCGTGCCCATCTTTTGAGCAGAAGGAAGATGTTGCTACGGTAAAAAAAATAAATTTCAATGAATTTCTGATGAGCTTGAAGTCAAACGAAAAGGCACTCAATCCTATTGAGGGACCTGAAAAAGAGAATGTTTTTTTTGTCCCTTCACAAGTCTCAGAAGACGTGGCACGCTCGTCGGTGGAATTTGTATATTCCCATGAACCACTGGACACCTGCAATGTAACAGAAGTGTTTAGAGGGCAAGATGATGGAATGGAAATGACAAAATGCCAGGCATCTGATGTTAAAGCTATGTTTTCTGGTATTTGTGAAGCTCCACCAGAGCAATTACTGTGTGCGGATGTTACTGAGGCATTTGCAGATGATGGAATGGATATGACAACTAGTCACACTGCAAAAATGTCTTTTCCCTTCTCCAGTGTCGGGAATCAAAGTCTAAACTTCAAAAAGGATTTCCCATCCACAGAGTTAGATAATTCTATATTAAAGAAAGCATCTAATCAGCACTTAATTGTTGGGCAGGACCCTCAACTTTGTACAGGCGAGAAAATAGTAAATGTTGAAGACAGACGAGATCCTGCAGTGCTGCGAACTGTTAAACAAGAGGCCAGAACAACGTCTGCCATCCCAGGATCCATTTCTTCCGAGACTGTCTTCCGAGGTGATAAAACTGTTGTTTTTTCTAAATGTGATGACATGGAAATTACTGGGAATTACACAGATGTATTCTATAATGACAGTACTAAAGAAATGATCAGTTCACATCATAAAACTTTAGAAAAGCCAGTTAATACAAACTCTTCACTAGCAGAAAACAGACGCCCAGCACATGGTGATAGGGACATTGCAAAGAGTCTAACACCTTTAGATAATGGAGCTTCTGTGCCATATAAAAATAGTGCGCCTGAACTACCTTTGGGCTCAGATGAACGAATTGAAAAAGTGACCCAAGATCACGGGACTGCTTCAGTGGATGTTGGTTTTGATTCATGTACAAATTCAGTGTCTACTGGTGTTTCTAAGAGTAGACTTCAGCACAGACTAGCAAACTCTCAACTTGTTTCTCTGCCAGGTGAGAAGACGGTAATATTCTCAGGGGAAGATATGGACTTGACTAAAACCTGTGTTGTCGAGGATGATGGAAAGAATGTTGAAAATGAATCTCCTGCTGGAGCGTCCACCTCTGTCACCTGCAAACCTCACTTTCTTGATAACAGATCTACATCTCCCAACTTAAATGAACAGGAAGAAATGGAAATAACTAAATGCCATGCTGTTGTCATTGATGATCAAAGCAATGGGATAACTGCAGAAGCAAAACAAATGCATTGCAAAATAATTCCAAGAAAGAACCAGAACAGAAATGTCAGTGAAGGTGCAAATGTTTTAGATATGGACAAGGAAAATCTTGAGGTGATCAGTATCGATGGGAATATTAAAAGAAGCCAGGCTATAGAAATGAATACTAAAGATCTTGAGATGATAATGGTCAGTAAGAAGCTTGGAAAAACAAACTTTCAGGCAAGTGGTCCAAGTTCCTGTGCAAAGAGCGCGTGTTCATTACAAGAGCAAGAGAGAGAAGTCCCTGAGAATATCGTCACCAACACCTGTGCATTCGTGTCTTTGCAAAGTCAAAAAGTTGTTTTTTCTAAATGTGATGACATGGAAATTACTGGGAATTACACAGATGTATTCTATAATGACAGTACTAAAGAAATGAACAGTTCACGTCATAAAACTTTAGAAAAGCCAGTTAATACAAACTCTTCACTAGCAGAAAACAGACGCCCAGCACATGGTGATAGGGACATTGCAAAGAGTCTAACACCTTTAGATAATCGAGCTTCTCAACCTTTGGGAAAAAACCTTCTAAACGCTTCAGTTTCCTGCACAAATGACAAAATGGGCAGGTTTTCAGATGATGAAAACATGGACATAACCAAACCCCATCCTGCTGCCTTTGATGTTGCTCCTATTAATACAGGACAAGAATACGAGAATAATCATAATCAAAATAATGTACGATCCAAAATTCTGCAAAACCAGACCTTCCAGTTTTCTGGTAGTTCTGGTGTAGATATCACAAGTCAGACTGCAGCAATGGAATGTGGGGATTTGAAAATGAACACAAATAAACAAACTGTTACTCGTTTGCCTCCAAACGGTTCATTTATTTCCAGTAATGAGCCTGTTCCCTCTGGAGTGAAAGGAAATGAACAACTTGAAACAATACTAGGAATAAAAGCAGATTGCCAAAACTCAGACAGGCAAGAGAAACCCCATACTATGAAGGCAATACACAAAGTATTGTCAACTCATGTAGATTCTGAGAGAGATTTTTCAATTGGTAAAACAGTTTCTACAGAAGAATATTTTAAAAATCCTCACTCAGTTGATGGCCTGCACTTGAGGGGTGCTGAAGAGCCGTTGCTAGCCAATACGTCTGAACCACATAAGGGAAGTTCCCAATTGCCTTCGTTTTTAGAAAAGTCAGTTGTGTTTCCCTCTGGTGAAAACATGGACTTGACTGGAAACTGTGCAGTAATGGTTCCTGATCACAACACCAATCCTGTTTTATCAGAAAGAAAAATGGTACCTGGACACATTGTTCAAGGTGAAAATAAAATAATGTCCTTAAAAAAAGGGGTCATGATGACAAGAAATGGTCCGGAGCAGCCTGCGTGCAATGTGTACTCCTTGGCATCTGGCAAGAAAATGTTAACCATGACTGGTTTAAAACATTTGCCTTTTGCAGGTGAGAAAACGACTATATTTTCAGAAGATGCTGATATGGACATCACCAGAAGTCATACAGTTTCAGCAGACAAAATAATTTTGCAGTGTAAAAGTTCAAATGATGACATATCCTTAATTTCTGGAGATAAAACTTGTGTTTTTACCTACAATGATGACATGGAAATAAGTAGATTCGATACTATTGCAGTTGACAAATCTATGGAAAAGGCTGCATCTCAAGGCATGCTTGACATGGCTAAAAGGACTGGAAGGAAAAGCTTGAAGGGAACAACAGGGGAAAAGACTGTTTTATTTTCACTGAACAATGAGAATAATGACATGGAGATCACAGAGAGCCATACGGCTGCAATAGGCCATGAAATGGTCTTGCAAAATGAGGTAGGGCTTCATTCTGTCTCTTCAGCTCATCCTGTTAAAACTGTTACGTTCACAAGTAGCCAGGCTGACGTGGACACTACCAAGTCTTGCTCTGCTGATGAAATTACCGTAAAAGTTGTATGTGATGATAAACTGAACTTGGATAAGGAGGTTGGACAGCAAGCACTTTCAAATAACGAAGCTACTGTGTTTGCTATGGATGATATGGAAATCACTAAAACCCATAATGTAGCTTTGGAAGAAAATTCTCTGCAAGGTAGGCAACCCGATCAGTCTGTTCCTTTAACTTCCACAATTATATTTACGGGTTACCAGGCTGACATGGAGATGACCGAATCTCACTCTGTTGATGAAAGTATTGAAAGAGTCTTATGTGAGGATAGATTAAACCTGGCTAAGCAGGTTGGACAGGAGGCTGTTTCAGATAGCAAAACCATCATTTTTACTTTGGCTGAGGATATGGAGCTCACTAAAACTCATACAGCTGTATTAAGTGGTGAAATTGATGTACAGGACAGAGAGTCCATTCCAGCCACTTCTGCAGTTCCTGCAGTTTACCCACAACGAAGATGATATGGAAATAACTGCATCTCATACTATTGCTGTTAATAACAATCTTAATGGATTTGAGAACCAAGAAGTGTCACATAAAAGCACTCAGCAACCAGACTCGCGCAGTGCGTTGTTGTCTTCTTGCAGAGATGAAATAGATTCCCTGCATACAAAAGACCTGAATGGTGAATATCATACAAAATCTAAGGATAAGCCCAGCATTCCCTCTTCTGCTTCATCAGCCTCGGCGTTTCCTAGTGAGAAAGGAGCTATCAAAGTCCACAGTGGCACACCACCAGATTCCGTTTATTCTGTCTCACTTCCAGAAGAGACTATGGATGTGCGGGCACCACAGGATCTTGACCTCCCCACGGATAATTCTGCCCCTGTAAACGGTCAGCAGGATCTCATACAGCCAGAAAAAATGAAATCAAAGGGAGTATCTTTCAAGCTTCCAAGTAATGGGCCCATGGATTGCAGTGAAGAAAGTAGCGATTTGGTATCCCGTGTTTCACTTCCCATCCAGCAACCAGATTCTTCAACGGGCTCTCCAGATGCACGTAGTCCTCAGAGAAACCAAGTATTGAAAGGTGATTCATCTAGACGTGAAGATTTAGCTACAGATTTAGGCTTGGCTGAAGCAAGCCTTGTTCCAGTTTCTAACAAGGAATCAAAGGAAAATGAGGGGCCGTCAGCTGAAGGGGAGGGACCTCCAAAAGACTTTCACATAAACTCTGAACAAACTAAGCAACTTTTGGTCAGTGACGGTCCAAGAGATCAAATAGATCCCATTCTTGCACCTGAACTATCAGGTATTTTAAATGTTTGTTCAAAACTGAAAAATATTAGAAGGAAATCTGCAGTTCTCTCTGTTTCTGAAACTGCTTTTTCTGACCAGTTGCCCAAATCATCAACTCAGCCAGAGGATACCTTGAGGTTAGGAAAAAATACTGTAAATGAACCAAATAGTTTATTTTATACCAAAGAGCAGGAGAACACATGTCTTCAATCTGGAGCTGCTCCCATAGATGCAAATTTAGGCATGGCACTTAAGGATAAATATCAAGGAATAAATGTCCCTCTAGGTATCTTCCAGCCTAAATTACCGAACAGAAGAAATCCTTCTGTTTCTAGCATACAAGACATAAAGGCAAAATCTTCAGACAAAGGAGAAGCACCAGTTTCAGAAGTAAGTGTAAACGCTGGTGAAACCCCAGATAACAAGAAGTCTAGTAGGCAGAACTTCAGCCCTTCTCAGTTTATAGCAGAAGAATTTCTTCCCGTCTGCCTGGAAGAAATGGATTCAAATGAATCTGTAAGCTCTGAACTTGTGGAAAATGTTTGCAATGAGATAAGCAAAAAACAAATCTCCCACAATGAAAAGGATCAATTTGAAGAGACAAAAACTTGCAACAACACAAAAAGAGCTTTGGAACAACACGAGGAGGATCTTCAAAGTCCAAAGAAGCTCAAGAGGGATGAAAACTTGAATGGTGAGGCCTCCCAAGACTTGCAGGTGAGCCTTATCACTCAGTATAAGGATACAGTGAACACTAACAGGACTCCCGTTTAAATTTTGGGGTGTAAGCAGATCTATCGGTAGGTTTTCTTGTTTCCCTTAACCGCCAGTTTGCTGTCATTTTGCTATGTTGTCCCCTGTATTTTTCATTGTTTTGCCAAAATAGAAGAATCAGGTTGATGTGTGCAACTTTCCTGAACGGTGCAAAACAGACAGAGTAAGGCATATGTCAATTTTAAATAATTCCCTCCATAGTATCCTTTTAATTCTTTCTTGACTAAATACTCTTAGTCCTCTGAACTGAACTATTTGCTAGTTGTTGCTTAGGTACAATGATAGAGTAAGGCCTAAAGCGATTATTTAAAATCCAAACGTGGATGTTTAGTTTAAATTAGCTTTTTTATAGACAGCACAAATCGCAGCCCAATCAAGAAAATCTGTGCAAATATGGAACGTTAATCTGCCCTTAAAAATAAGTTTGTACATCATCAGTAGAAACTTTCTAGTTCCAAAAGCTGGAAGGGTGTGCTGTGGTGGCTACTGCTTTGATTGAGAAATGAATGAAGGATTTTGCAGCTTTACTTCCTATATGTCATCGTAGGAAATGGCTTAACTAGCCATACGTTGGGTTGTCATGCTGATTAGATATAAAATGTGCCGACCAAAAATGAAACAATTCTCAATGTCAAGAAACAGCTACAATAAACTACTGATCGACTTATTATTGTATTGTTTCATATAACTCTCAATTTTTTTTTTTTTTTAAACTTACTAATATTAGGTTACTTTTGGCGCTGTGTCTCAAAGCCAAGTAGTTCATGAAGGTGAAGATCCTCCGAATCTATCAGCTAAAAGCCCTGACTGTACTCATGCCAGCACCAGCAGCTCTCTGGATTCTGTTAAGGCTGACACAGAGTTAACAAGTAAGACTTCCGTTGCGGTAATGGTTTCAAACCTTGTGTTCTTTACGCTTAATCAAGGAAGAGCCTCACCTGTAGTATATATGTCATTTGGGAAAGGCCTTGAATGTCTGCGCCACAGTTTCCCACCCAGCCCGTCAACATGCTTTTACGTTCTGGCTAAGAGTCCAAGCCGTTCAAGGAAAACCAAGATGGGAAGAAAAAGGAGCAGAATTTAAGTACAGCTTTGTTTTCAAGGGCAAGTTGGGCTGATGAGGCAGTTTAGTTACCTTAGCACAGAGCAAAGTCCCAACCCAAACTCTGCCGGCCCAGGGGTGATTTTAAGCTGGTTCCACGCAGAATGAGTCTGCGTGTCTCAGCACTGCGCTCTTGGAAGACGACTCCTCAGAGGGCATTGCAGGGTCAGGCTCTAAGCAGATTCAGCCCCCAGGTTTAATTAGCTCTTGCTAATTAGCTGATACCTAACAATGAGGCAGAAATCTGCCAATCATCTGGTAAGTGGTATTTTGTCTCTATTTACAAAATCGATTCCAATTTTGACCTCCTGCAATCGTGAAAGCATATGCCTTATCCAGCAGAAGTTGGGCTCTTTCCTTTGAGTGAGAAACTAGCTCTTGTTGGCTCAGAACTTGAATGCCATGTTTTTACCTTGAAAGCTGCTGGCAGCTCAGATGCACTTTGGTCTCTGTCTACATAGGATGCCCTCTGTGAACTGGTTGGAGTCTCTCAGTTTTATTACTTTTTAGTATGTTACATATGGCTTTCCTCCCACAGAAAAGTGAACTCTCTCATTTCATTACCGCTCTGACACAGATTTTATTTTACGTTAGATTCTTAATCTAGTCCTCCTTATTTGTCCCAAGTAGTTGTTTCCTCAGTTACTTCATTCAGCACTGGAAACGCACATAAAGGTCAAACTCTACATTAAAATTGCATTTTTTCTAGAGCTAATGAGCTTAGGTTCATATTTCCATAAGAATATTATTAACGCCAGCAATATCCACCCCCCCCTTTTTTGTTGTTTTTTGGCTAGTTCAGCGAAGCAGTCAGATGGAGTCCCAGCTTCTCACAGATAGCATTTGTGAAGATAATTTACGGGAGGTATGTAAATAGCTGAAAGATGCTAACTTCTTGTCCTAACAGTAAAAATGCTTGCATGCGTATATGCAAGTAAGCATTCTTGCTTGAAAAGTGTACTTATCTGTATGTTTTTCCTAATCTTCACAGAAATTTCAGAATGGTGTTATCACAGTTGGGGAGTTTTTTACACTTCTTCAAGTCCATGTTCCGATTCAGAAGCCCCGGCGTAGCCATCTTCCAGCCAGTGTGAGTATCTGTCCTTTGATGCGCATAATATAATTGACCTTAAATTATATTCCTTTGCCTTTTAATTTTTATCAGCTAACCGGTCTGTACTAAAGGCCTCTACATGAGTTAAGCCAGAAGTCAGTTCCACCTTGGCAAGTGTGTCAGACACTGCATGTTTCCTCTTGTCTCTTTGCCTTGTTCACCTCTGATAAGTCTGATGCTTTTTTTCCCTCAGTACTGAAAAACAGAATAACTTTCAGTCTCTTCACAAAATACCATATATCCAGGATTATCTGTTCTTGGATAAATATGCTAATTCTTGCTTTTTTAACTTGTTTTAAGGATGGTAAGTTTGAAAGTAAGAATTAAAAGCTCAGTCTGGCCTTTTCCCTTCATCTTCTTACTATGTCCATCAGCCACTGAAATCAGAATCCTGAAATGCTACTCTGCACTCCTACTACCTGTTCCACTCTCCTTCATAAGTGCTTCACCGTGACATTACTGCTCTTTATTTCTTCCCCTTAAGTCTGTTCTGCCTGAACCCAGTTTCAGTATCCTCATCCTGAAAGGTTTCTGTTGAATTCTTGCAGACGTGGGAACAACTGGTTTTTTGCATGCAGACAAGTACCACTCATTGGTAGTAACTTGATGCTGGGCGAGGCAGTAATCTTGCTTCGCAATCATCCTCAAAGCAGGGCCTTGTAATTTGTTTTCAGTAAAGGCACCTTATTTTCATATAAGCTTTCTTATGACTAGTGTTTCAGACTTGGTTATTTGTACACATTTGTGTAGCCAGCTGGATTTCTAGCTGGATGCTGGGGCTGGTCTCATCCATCTGGATTTCGCAAATAATCTTTATAAGGAATGGTACTTATGCAATGAAGTAGTGTGAATGAGCTGCTTAGTTTTCTGTACGTAGGTATTATACTGACATGGAGAAGTTTCAAGTTTCATAAACAGAGAAAGTTTGTTTGCAAGATTGCAATGCTTAGCATTTATTTAATAAAGTATATGGGGATTTAGTTCAAATACTTCCATTTCCTGCTGTTTACTTACAGTCAGCGATGCACTGGGACAATGGAAAAGCCATCCTGGAAAGTGGAAAACCTTAGCAGTGTCTGCATAATTTTGACACTGGTTTGGGAGTTTCTTCTATGCCAGTACTTATTCTAGAGTGCTGGAGAACTTTTCAGGAGTATGTTCAATGTTAAGTAAGTTCTAATGAGATTTGATCTTCTTTCTTCCAAATGGGTAGCAGGACACCTGTTTTGGTAGGAATTTTTAATACATCTTTATGGTAATAAGTGTAAGAGTGAAGTAGTTACTATGTATGAAAAGGAGTGGTCAAGATCATATTCTTCACATGGAAAGTGGCATATTTGTGAAAATTCTTTACTTGTGAAATTCGTTCTAGTACTTCACATTAGTTGAAAACTGGCTCCTATATAACCAAGTCTTACTGCTGTAAGATGTCACATTGTCAGGGCAAATATGTCAGTAGGATATTCGCATTAGAAATTTAGATATCTTCTTGGAAAGAAGGAGTGCAACTGCGGACCTTGTTTTGTTAGTTTGCAGAAAGCCAGCGCACACAGCTGGTTTGATATGTTTGTGGGGCACACGTGGTGGTGTGGTGTTCTGCCTTTCTTCACTGCCTCATGGCTGACTGAATAAAATTTCTGTGTGTCAACTTAGCAAGAGCGAGTAAAAGGCTTGTCCGTTTTAAAGTTCTTTAAAACTCTTATGATAAAAGAATGAAAACTGATTAAAAAGAATCATAGCTAAATTAATATAATTTGTATCAATTAAATTGCTTCCTTTACGGCTTTTAAATCTCTTCTGTTTTTATTTAAAATGCTGTACTATCTTAGTTGCAGTTTAGTTTACGCTTTCAGTTTGCAAATTTATTCATACTGAGCTGTCTCTAAATATTCATCAGGCTTACAAAACCCTGACAGCATTCATTAGTGACTGATCTCCGATAAAAACCAAACACCACCCCCACCCCCCAAAAGCCCCTAAAAGCTTTCTCTGAAGGGATGGAATTAATGTCAGTTATTTACGTGCTTCAATAGATAGGTAGCTTGCTGAAACATCCCATCGTATTTATTTGATGTGCCTAAGACTTGTTGAAAATTGGGAACTTCGATTCCGAATCAAGCATAGCTATCTTCTTTTATTCTAGAGCACTCTTGTTACCTGGATAATGTACGCGTGTTTTTCAAGTCTTCATCTAAAAGGAAGTTAACCTCTTTCAATTTATTTTTTTTTTGAGCTCTGGTGATGAGGCATATGTCCCAAAAGGAAGTCCATGCTCAAATGTGAGGAAACATGGGGCATAAAAGTGGAATGAGCTATCTAAGGTTATATGACTAACTTGTCTCAGAATGAAATAGGACAAGTCCAGAATGAAAACAATCATTTAAGTATGTCAGGCTGCCTCCATGAGGGTTTGGGTTTTTTTTTTCTTTTCTGTTCTGCAAAAATAAAGATTCCGGGCCTTTTGCTGGTTTCTGTACATGAACTGATCGGAAGTTACTGTTTCTGAAAAATATGCATCTTTTTTTCTTCACAATTTTTCCCTCTGTTTTTCCCCAGTGTGCAGCCAGTGCACCACCTACTCCGGAAGACCTTATTTACAGCCAATATGTTTATCGCCCCAAGCTACGTATTTATGAAGAAGATTGCCAGGCCCTTTCTCAGATGATAGATGAGTAAGTGTTTTTTCAGTCACAGAGTATATTAGTAATTTTATTTTTTCAGCTCTGGTTGCGTGCAATAATAATAATAAATAATAATAAAGATAATTAAAATTTGCTTTTCCTCAAGTAATTTATCTTTTACTAATAAAGTGTTTCGGTTGCACATCAGAAAACTTTTAAAATTGTATCAAAAAGGATCAAACATAGAAAGCAGAATCGTAACAGGTTACGATCTGTTGTTTATTAGATTGAAATACAGTTATCGTGATTTATTTTCTTATCTGAAGGACACTTCTGGTCTGATTCATTATGCCTTTTACAAATTATGTGCAAAATCAAGTTTTATGATAAAATTCAAAATCAGTAGTAAGATTTTTCACAGCCTCATTAGCACCACTTCCTATTTCTTTGGCTCTCTGGCTCTCTACCTCCTGTTCAGACCTGCCCTCAACAAGACGACTATAGGAAATGAACTTTGTACTATGTGCTAGAGGTTAACAAACATGGCCCCCCATTTAATCAAGGCTTTAGAGGGTCTCTCCAAAATGTTAGACCCAACTAAATGAAAATATTTACATTTCCATGTGGTAATTAGAAAAGGGGAATGAATTGTATAAATACCAATGTGCTGCTGTGTGTGCTCGGTGCAGTTGCAACAAGACTTTCTTTCAACTTTTTTTCCCACATTTCAGGTTAAAACTGTATGCAAACGTCCAGGATCAACTCCTGGTGAATGTGAATAAGAGTTTGTGGGAAGTAATGAGAACCTGCTCTGATGAAGAGGTAACACTGCATGAAGAGATAATGTCATTTCTTACATAATGAAAAAGTAAGGTTAAGTCAGATAAAATAAGAACCAGAATGGTCACAGAATAACAGTAGGCAGGTAGGTGATACAAGGCAAAATATTTTCTGAATGGAAAACTGCTATGAGAACTTCCAATACGTCAGAAGAATGCAAGGATTTGTGCCCTTTAAAATATATTAAAGGGGAATATGTTGCTATAAAACAGAAAAACTTGATAATTTAAGTTGATAATTTCGCTTAGTTGAGGGCAGAAAAGAGAAGAGAAACTTTAGATGGGCCTAAGCAAACAGTGCAATTTTGGAAGGAAAAAATGAACTGCTCTTACTGTAGAGAGAGACTCTGTTGCTTCATTGGTGGAGCAGAATTGCCCATTAACCGAAATGCTTATTTAGTTCAGAAAGACATGCGATGTTGCAAGACATATAATGAACAGAAAATACGTGTCATTACACAAAAATAAAACTGCATACAGGATTTGGAGTGCAACAATGGTGTCACATGCCAAACCAAAAGCTGAGGCCAGAGGGTATTTAAAGGAGAATGCTAATGATAACGGGCACAAAAAAGCACGCCAAAGACATTCGCATTTAAAACTCAGAAGCATTATAAAAGTATCCCAGCCAGAATTGAGAAGGTAGATCGAGATTCTGTTTTCCGTGGTTCTAATGCCAAGAATAAAGATCTATTCAATGAAAATAGAGAGTCAACATTATAAAAGACAGTATTTTTCATAGTTCATAATTAGATTGATACAGGATATCACCGAGGCTAGGTTATTGACTAGATTCAGGAAGAATTATACTTAACGAACAATGAAAGCACCTAGAACCCTTAGCTAAGAATAACAAATTTGGAAGCTTATTAAGCAAATCTCTACACACTGCAATTAGAATTATACCACCCAGTGGAAATAGGCAGATGGCAAACATCATAGAAAAAAGCTTTTTGTACATTCCTCTGCAGCTTCTGGATTGACAGCTGTCGGAGAAAACATTGAACTGCATGATCTGTAGCTATGCTCTGTTAAAACAGGTTTTAAGTTTACTTCTTGTGGTTTGGGTTCTGCCTGGACTTCCGTGAACATTTCGGTTAGCCTCCTTAAGGATAATGGGGCAAGTGTTCTAAATACGTCTCAAACAACTGGGATGAGAGACCTCTGATGTACTTAATGAACGTGCTCTGGTTTTTGGTAAAAGCATCTCTTTAGTTATTTGTGCGGCTCCCTATTTGAATAAAGATCTTGTTGGATTTTTGCAAAGAAAATCAGTTACTTTAGTAGGCAACTGTACTTGCATTAACAGGGATTGTCCAGTCTTAAATTTGATTTGATTTGCAAGTGTCATGTAATACTGCTACTAGAGAAATGGGATATTGGGAGGAGCAGAGAAGGGACAAAGAGTCTAAAGGGTCGATTGAACAACCTTTTGTTGCACATTCCCATTCGCTTCTGCTTCTGTATTTTCCATTCATTGCAGCTGAAGAGCTTCGGAGCAGAATTGAACAAAATGAAATCCTATTTCACCAAGGAGAGTAAAATCTTGGCTCACAATGAGAAAGTGACATTGTACAGCAAACTGCTGCAGAGCGCGCAGGTAACGTGCCACAAGGCTGCAGAGGTTTACCTTTAAAAAAAAAAGGAACTTCTACCATATTTCGTCCGTCTTTGACTGTCAAGTTTAGAGGCCTAATTGTTGTATGTAAGTGTGCATTCGCTTGAAAGTTTCCTTCTTATTAAACGTACTTCCCTTTTATTTATAGGCAAATGTAAAACATTGGGACAGTGACTTTCTTGCACTTACACTATAGGAACCGTCTGCCTAAGGGTTTTGGCAATTAAAGTAACAGTGAAAAATGGGAGTATTAAAGGAAACGCCATCAGAAATTAGCTCTTTATACTGTAGTAATGTCAGTATTAGTAACTAACAAGGAAATGCAGAAGTAATGCATTGTGACAGGTATCAGAAATTTGTATGTGTTAAAAGCTCTAGGAATTTATTTATTTCCGTGTTTTATCTCATCCCTTCATAAGAAAAGTCATTAGGAAGATACACTGTTAAGTATCTAGTACTTTCTAACGCATGGCTACTGCCTTAATGTTTGTCAGTCTGCCTCTTTGTTCTAATGACAGATTATATCAGCTTCTTTAATTAGTTTCTTAGCAAGCAAAGATCCACGTGGTGGTCCCAGAAGACAATTCAGCTTTTTAAAAAATGTCATTGACTTGAGTACAATTGTTGTATCTTAGGAACAACATGGAAAGCTACAGTCAAGAATAGAAAAGGTGGATGAATTACTCAAGGAGGCGGAGAGCTGTCTTGTTGCTCTGGAAGCAGGTATGTGTGTCCAAACCAGTGACCGATTTGCTGATTTCTCTATGTTTCTGCAGAGCTGCTGTTTAAAGGGTCAGTTCAAGATTCTGTGTTCGGTGGTTGCTTGGAATTTTACAATTCCTTTGTTACAAGTATTTGTTAGGCCTAAATGCCTTCATTCGTGTCTGCAAACTTGTCTTGTGGGAGCCACTTACATATCATACGAAAGCTAGGAGTATATCTGTGCTGAAATACAGAGTTATAATTGTAGCCTATGAACATGTAACCAAGCTGGCTAAATCTGCTAGCGATAATGATACAGCTGCTGGCAGCACGCAGTTCAAAATGGCTGCAAAACCTGCCAGCAATCCTGCAGGTAGGCAAGACTAAGCTTTGCACTCCAGGACTGTTTATCAGCATCATAGTTGGATGGTTTAAAACTTGTTCAGCTGTGTTCACACAAGCTGTAGTCAGTACTTGGCATGGCTGCATAACGATGCTCTGTGTATTTTCACTCCTTTTCTTCCAACTGAATTTTCTACTTCAGTAGAAATCAAATTGCACAGTAGCAGCTTTGGAACAACGCAATGAAAGGAGTTTTCCTTGTTATCTGTTACTTTTTGAGGGTTTTGGTAGATACCCTTCCAGCTTTTTGTACATTTTTCTTAGTTAGCTTTGAAATACTAAGATTTATAGAACCCACAGACAAATAAAATGGAACCTAAGTATTGATTCTGGGAGTTCTGCAGAAACCTGAAACTTCTTTCCCATAGATTCTGACTGGGAAGAATGGGAAGCAGACTGCAGTGATGAAATGGCAGAAGGGAAAACCCTAGGGGAAGGTAATGGTACCAGCTGAATGGCACTTTTTGTTTTTTAAATTCTGGAGAGGGTGATACTCAAACCCACCCTGATACATTAATTCCGATATGGATGCAAACACTGCTGCTTTCTTTTCCACATTGGATATAGCTAATTACACAGATGTTAAAGTACAAAAAAAAGGACTGTTCCTCCCCCTGGAAACATGGAGTTTAGAACTTGGTGTGTGCTGGCTATCGTATTCAGCACATTAATTGTTCAATAATTAATAACCTTTGTTGGCCGCGTATCTGTATCCAGGTAGGAGTAACAGCCATCAAGTTGATGGCTTTCATATTGTTAAGAACAGTGACTGCAGCGCAAGTTAGGGCTTTCTTTGCTGCTCTTTTCTCTCATTGCTTTTTCCCCTTTCTCTTAGAATTGGAAAGCCTCAGAGCCCAAGAAGAGGAACTTCAAAGGTAAGATGTCAAAGAGGATCTAAAGACCTTAAATAACATGTGCACATTCAGGTTTTAGAGGGTTGGTGTTTTTTCAACCAGTGTGCTACATCTCATGTGGTTGGTTTATCTTTGCAGAGAACTGTCAGATCTGGAGACTGAGAATGAGCAAATGCTTGCTCAGATGAACCAGCTAAAGGAAAACGAAAAAAGCTGCCAGGAACTCCTGGAGAGATACGAGTAAGGAAAAGACCTTCAGGTTTTATTTTTATCAGCTAGTTCTAGGGCCTCACATTCGTATATAAATGTTTTTTATTTTGGTTTTTCTTGTTATTTGATTTGGGAAATCTTTGGACGCCCATCTCCTCGCAGCCTAGGATAAGCAATAAAGCCTCAGTGAACTTCCATGTGTGATGCACTGTTTTTCTATTAACAACTTTGCAGTGATACTCTATGTTCAGTCTTTCTGTATCCAACACTCTTCCAATTCCAAAATGAACATTTATGTAAAATTAATAGTATTATGCTTGCGTTCCCAACAGATTCCTACATTCTGTTGGAAAGTGAAAATTTCATTGGTATATCATGTGGTAATAGCTGCAAGTGCACTTAATACTCTGATCTTTGTCCTTCAGATAATTGTGTTGGTTGGTTGAAACTTAGGATGGTTGTGTTTTTCTCCCCCCCCTTTTTAGCTTCACTGAGTGGGAGATTACTGAATGGAGTGAACAGCGGGCAGTCTTTAATTTTCTTTATGATTCTATTGAACTCACAGTTGTGTTTGGACCCCCAATAGGTAAGTCACAAAATTGGTAGGTTTCAGTTTTATGAATTTGAAAGGTTAAATAGTTACACAATGGAAACCTAAAGTTTCTATATTTGTGAAGATCTGCTAAAAGGAGATAGAAAACATACTACAGCAGGAGCGTGTAAGCTGAGAGCGATGGCTTTGAACATGTTTATCAGTGCTGTCTATGAAAATTCAGAAAAGTATGTAATGAACGGCTGTTTCTGAAAAGGAAGAGCTGTAGCTCCAGAATTAAGTATGGAAATAGCTACTGTTTGGGTTTTTTCCTTTCCTTCTCAGATGGTGATGTTTTCGGTGAAGATCCTTCCAGAAAGATAGTTAGCCTGAACTTTGAATCTCTCTTGGATGGTAAGATTTTTCAAGTAGCTTGAAAGTAACTGCCCTGATAATCTGTTCTTGGGAAGACATCTGTAAATGTGTGGTTTATCTGCAAAATGCATTACTGTACGGCTTTTAAAAGATTTCTGGCAACGTGTTTTTCTTTTGTGTTACAGAGGAAAAAGCTCCACCCTCCTCATGTTTAGTCCAAAGACTCATCTTCCAGTTTATTGAAAGTCAGGGATGCTGGCAGGAAAAGTGTCCCACACTGTACTACTTGCCCCAGGTAATGTTCCAGGAAAGCCTATAAGACTCTGGAAAAACATTAAATCTTTTCTGTCACAGAGAATAGGGCTGATACTGAGAACAAAAGCATCTTAATGAATGCTTCATCAATGCAAATCAAGATCTGCTTCATGAATATTCTGAGGTGCAAGGGGAAGTACCTGTCCCTGAAGGCAAGAGTCCTAAAAGCTGTGGTTTCGTCCTTGTTTGCTGCATTAATGTCTGCCTGTCTTAGTGATTTTTTACAATCCTTTTTTTTCTGCTAGTAGAAATTAAAGAATTGAGCTGAATGCCATTCTGCTTCCTAAATGGTTTAAATTGCCAAGCCAACCTTGGTGTTCTGCATGTCTGTGTACCCCTGTTGACAAAGCTGAAGGGAGAAATTTAGGGCAAAGAATGTATATTTGTTGTTATGCTTGTACAATTTCATTTTCACATCCAAACTGAGATAGCAGTTAAACTACCTCTTTTTTTTTTTTTTTAATACTTTCTAGGATAAATGCATTTCCAAGTGTGTCGTAGTTTACCAGCCTGAGTGCCAATGTGATTGCTTTTCTGATTGCCCACTTAGGTTCTTCATGACATCTCTTTGGTGGTGAGTCGCTGCAAGATCTTAGGAGAGGAGATTGAATTTCTGGAGAGATGGGGTGGAAAATTTAATCTTCTGAAGACAGATATCAATGACACAAAGTGAGTAACTTCAGATGGAGTTTACACCAGTCCTTCAGAGAGCGTCTCTAGATAATCAGGAACAAAACACTGAAATACTTTCAATTTGGTTGTCTTGAAACTGAGATTTTATGCCACTACTTTCAACAACAATCTGATTTATTTTAATACAATTGCACTATAATATTTAAATGCACGGAAATTAAGCTGTTCTTGGTTTCGGCCACTTCCTTACTATCATATAACCTCTCCTTCCTTGCTGCTTTGCTGTTTGACTTGACTCTCTCACTTAAAACTTTAGGCCAGAGTGTAGCAATGCAAAGGAAACAGCCAAGAGTTTACCTGTAGCTTAGTGTTTTGTTTCTTTTATTTGCTTCAGCCAAGCAGAATCGTTTGCTGAAGGACAAATGCACTTAAACTAAACTTTAGTTTTCTTTATTTTTCATTTTCTCATAGTACTTCCCAGTTTTGTGGCATGTCCCAGTGGAACGAGATAAATACTACTTCACCTTATCCTTCTATTATTGATGTATGTCCTTAACTAAGAAGTGCCCGGTTAACCTTGCTCTGCATGCCTTGATGCTGTTCCTATAGGTTATTCTAATTGTGTAGTACCCTTTGCAAGAGTGGTGTTCTACTACATGCCAAAAATCCCACAAAAGCTATATTTAGTTAAGTCAACAAAACAGATACAAGAGCAGCCTGTGCTCAGGAAGTTGCAAATTGTGGGAGATTTACCTGGCAAAGACCCGTGTTATGCTCGTTCTAGTTTACGCTATCCCAAAGCATCTGCTTCCTGGGCATTGTGTCCTTGGTGATGGTCTTACCCGTATTTACAACAAAATTCAACTTTGGCCTTCCTGCATATTGTCATAGACAAGAGTACTGTGCTAGATAGAAATTTGGCCTGATTTAAATAGGGTTGGATTCATGAAACAATCTTAGAATTGTGGAATTGGAGGTAAATCAGTCCTACTTAAAACTTCAGAAAACTTTAGCCACCTAGGAATATTTTATGTTAACTAGAAAACATATTTTTGACTACTACTTTATATTCTCCCATAATTTTTGAAAGGTTCTGTGAATTATGTGTGTATTAACTTTTTCTGCAAGGAAAGTTGGGGTTTTGTATTCTAACTCAGTGTTAGAATGCTGATAGTATTAGAGTGGAAAGGTTCTTTTAACCTTATTTATTACTTTATTTATGAAGTAACTGTTAGTCTGTGCTGGAACTCTTCAGAAGTTATTGAGCTTGTTGCATCAATTACATCACCTGTTTTCACTTCCGGAACCTAATTCAAAGGTGGTGGCAGTACATTTGAATATTTTGTATTGATCTTTTTGTTTGTGTTTATTTCGCATACAGAGTGAAGCTTTTGTTCTCCGCTTCCACAGCTTTTGCAAAGTTTGAGTTGACCCTGTCTCTATCTGCCAACTACCCATCTGCTTCACTGCCTTTTACTGTCCAAAACCAAATTGGGAACATTGGGTGAGTTGAACAGAAAAGAACCACTCCATATGACTTAAGTTTCAAAGCTAGGGATGGGGAATTTATTGTTGCGTATCCTCTCAAACACGTGTGATCATTTTATCTTTCCCAGGGAGGAGGAAATTTCTGCTGTTCTGTCCAACGTACCGATTGGTTACCACTATCTGCGGAGAATAGTCAGCTTGATTCATCAAAATTTGCTCCAGGATCCCAGATGATTCGCTAGATCCACATGCAGGACTGAAGAAGTCAGACTGGACAGTCTCTGATTTTAGTCTTGTAAGAATTCAAGCTGTCTCTCACCAGAATGGGAGTGCTGTTAGCTACTCAGCTCTTTAGTACTCTTGTCTAATAATTGGTTGATATCCAGGGTACTTGGTGTAGGCCACAAGTTTTTATAAAAGCAGAGGTCTCTAAAGAGGAAAAGGGAGAATTTCTTATGTCTTTTATACATCCAATCTGCCTTTTATCTTCTTTCAGTCACCGGTGGTCTTGGCCTCCTTGTATATATAGTCTTTCCTAGTATGGATATTCTTCTGACATAGCATGTTAATTTTGTTCTGGGTTGATTTACAGAGCTGTTGTATAAAACAATGATGAGTATTTTCTAAATTAACACAACTGGAATTTACTTTCACTATCATTACTTCACTTACTTCGTAGCATTTTAACATATCACGTTTGATTTTCATCGGTTTCCTGGAACCCCTCCCAAAACACAGAAACTATAGTCCTGCTTCTTTCTGATTAACCAAATAACCTGTCATAATTAACGAGGTGGCCAAAGTCAGAAATACTTTTGTCATGAAGACTAAAGATCCCTGTGCTTGACCATAGACTTTGCGGTGCAACAGACTCAAAGCCATCAGGTTCCATCTGTGTGATCCTCTCCGGCTGGAAGTTTGTTCTGATACTCAGTGTCTTTGTCCAGTACAGTCTGTCTCTTGGTTCTGGTATGTTGTCCGAGTTTGTAATGCGTTAGAATTTTAGTGAGGAGACTGAGCTATTTAAATTTAGGAGGTATCCGTCATATCGTTGGTGCAGTCTAGATTGCTTTTGTATATACTTTGTATATTACGTAGGTTGAGCTGTTGGAACTGATCTAACCCTGACCGAGTTTATCGTGCAGAAGTGCCTACCATTTCTCAACTGTCCATTCTGTAGGCAGGTGCAAATTTTTGTATCTCTGTAAAATATGTTGAATTTAAAAATGTTTTCATGTGTTTAAGTGTTTATATATTTTTGTCTTTTTACAAATTTTCCTTCTATTTGGAAGGTGGAAGTTCATTAAACATTTGAATTATTGCTCTTCCTTCTTCAAGTTGTGATTATCGGCTGCTCGATTTAAACTTGTGACTGAAAATTTGCCTACTACTATTGAAATAACTTTGTTAGCTATTTGGGAGGACTTTTCATAACATGAACTTGTATTGTTTTTTTCCTTGCGTTTCCTAGTGTTAGCTTTCTATGGCCTGGCTTTCGCAGAATAATTTTATTTTTTTTTTAAATTAGGAAAATAGTGCCTAAGTTGCAAATGACTTGGGTATTATACCTGGAATGACTTTTGAATTTCCTACGGTCGTTGTATCAGCATTAGTAACCAGTAGAGGGTGCTGCAGCAGTACCTCATGAGCATTATTCAGCTCGGGCTTTTTTATTTGTCTGGTTTAGTTTTCTTTCAGCATATTTACAAGCTAAAGAATACAGTAACTACAAAGAATGAAGTGAGTTTTTGGTAGGGTTTATTATATTGCTCTGGATAGTGAATCAAAGCAGCAGATGAAACAAAGCAAAACAAAGCCATGCATTTGCAGTAGAAAAAGGAGATGAGGCAGAAATTAAGCAGTTCCAGTTTTGTATTTAATTTATATTTGTAGCTGACACTCTTATTTAAGCTCCTCCCAGGGCATTAGGACTTAAAGATCGTAACATCTCTCATCTATAGGGCTTGATGTATTACTGTTAAAATCTTCATAGAGATAATATATGTACAAAAACTATATTATTTTGCAAGCCAAATTTTGTTGAGAATGCCATTACTAAAGCTTTTCACACACAGTGCTTACTGTAACCATTGCTCAGTCATAAAGCTGGATATATAATGTTAGAGAACTCTCATTTCCTTCAACGATCCACTGCGATTTGTGGAGTAAAGCTCAGATTAGATCTCAAGTTATGGCTGTACCATTTTTAAGGATGGGGGAAACGTGTAAGGGAGAAGAAATTAATTACGTTTCAAGAATTAATTTACTTTTCTAGGAAAAAAAAGTCTATAGATGATGATTCTTATTTCATATTTGGTAATATACTAGCTGTGAAAGAATGAGCACTATCGTGTTTTCGCACTAATACAGTTGGAATGTTGTTTTGACTATGGCTTTCTTTAATGATTAGTTTATGGATATCAGTAATAGTGCACATTGTTTTATTGCATTTAATTTAGAGCACTTGTTCTTGTAAATCTGGAAATCATCCTTGAGCACTGATGCCCCGGCATAAGTGTGAATCCCAAGAGAATGTCAACCACACCCAAGTTCTAATACGTTACAGGAAAAGAATCTTTTATGGTCCTTCAATATTGCTTAAGGCTGATATCTTTCTGTATATATAAATGCAAAAGCCTCTTGTGATCTCTGTTTTGTCTTCCTAAATGCATATTAAATTCTTTAGCTCATTGGCAAAAGGTTAAATAATGAGGATGCAAATTGTTGTGCATTATTAGTAATATTCTGCTTTCATGTTCCCAACCTTCGTTTTCATGGGAAACATTCCAAAATCTGGACAGAGGATAGAAACACTAGTGGGGAACGTATCCATTTAAACATACGGCAATGCTTTGAGGAATGTCCAAAAGTAAAATGAGTGATTGATCAGTTTTACAGTTTAGAGTAAGATGAAAGGACAGTCTAGCGCTAAAGCACGTGTTTGGCTAGCTCAGGAACTGCAGTACAATTCTGGTGTTGAATCAACTGATTTGCTGTAGCGCTCTGTCCCCGAGTCCAGGGCATCTACCACTTGCAAACCAGGTTCTCTGAAGGGCATCGTTGCTTTGCATTGTTGAAATAGCTTCATGTTGCTAAACCTGAACTCTGCAAAACACCTAGTAATTTCTCCCTTGCAGCTCTAGTGCTACTTCAGTTGCAGCAACGGAAGCTACTAACGCCAGTGTCTGATATCCCAGTGTTTCCAAGAACTACAGGGGGAAAAAGACTTCTGAGTGGAAAATAATTTCTAAATAGGATATTTATACAAGATAAGCCACTCTGAAGACACAGCAGGTAAATTCAAATTAACCATTAGATATGGAAGATTTAGTTACATTTAACAGCTTAGACTTGCACACAAGCTCATCTGCTTTAACTCTAGTAGCTTTTATTTGTGAAGTTTTAAAATACATGATGATTGGATCTAAGTCAGTAGGGGGACCATAAAAAGTACTTCCTTGGGTATGAGAAGTGCTCCATGTATTTCAGTCTATACTGTGCACTTGGATACCTATATTTACTTAGAGTTCTATAGAGACCAATAACATTTCCTTTTAATATTCTTCTACTGAAAGTTGGCTCTGCTGCCTTGTTAAGTCACTTGAAGTTCTCTTCAGGTCAATACGGGATCTTAGAATTAAAAACACCATCTTCTGCCATCAGTTGTAAACTGCTCTTAACATTCCTTGACCTTATCATGCAAACGGTTACGGGATTTCCATTATGAATGCCCATCGCATGCTGTTCTGTCAGCTTCTGCTGCTGGGTTAGCGAAGTCCAGTAATGAGCATCACATGCCCAATATCCCAATGGCATGCTGACATCTTGAGCTGGGCTGGCTTGTTTTATAAGAAGAAAATTAGGATTATTTTCTGAATGCTGCTTCTTTCTAAGTGTTTTTCCTCATTCCCTTGTGTATGGCCCATGACTGCAGCTAATGATCCATTTTCCTCTGACCTTGAAACCTAGTTTTGGGAAAAGAGATTTCTGTAAAGAGGCTCGTGCCTTCCACATTGCTTGTTCTGAAAACCCCCGGTGTGGCTTTGTGGTGGTAAAACGTACTGTGCAAACAGTGCTTACATTCACAACTCCATAATCTAAACATCTACGTATTTTGAGTGTTTATTGACGTGTGTTGCCATGTTACAGACACACGTGCCCCATCACTTAAGGCCAGGCAACCTATTTTTCTTTGTGTGTTATCTGTTATGGGTAAGGCGGTTTCTGCCTGCATGCAAGTACAGAGTTGGAGCACATCTAACGGCTGCAGTCCTCTGTCGCTGGACCCATTTATTGCGGCGAGCTTTCTTCAGCTGTGTCTTAAGGCTGATTACGCCCCTACCCTCCAGCATGGCTTATGGAGCTTGTCAATGGATTCTCGCAGAATTACTTTTCATCCTCATACCACCTGTAAATACCAAATCTCTTGCTTCCAGCCCACACGATCTTGTAAACGTGGATCCACGGAAGACTGGGAGATGGAACTGCAGAATTTTCTGCTCAGAGGCTGCGATGATCTCATTTGATTTGGAAACACTCCGCTATCACAGGTGGATACCACCTACCTTAACCTGAAAAGCTCTGGATTTATCAGCCACTCTGTTAGAATACTAAGGGAGTGAGTAAAAACCACCTTTGCCGGTAGAGACAAACACCTTTTGCTTACCTACCCGCTTCCACACAGCTTCATATCCTTTTAACAGGTGGGCAGGATATCAGTCCTGTGTACAGTAATCAATAATCTTCAATGAGATAATAAAAGTCCCGAGCCGGGGGAGGCTTTTCTAATCATTTTCTTCAATAATGGGGCAGCACTGCAATCAGAGCCTACTGCGTGTCCTTGACCAGTTATTTGTTGTAACAGAGAGGCTACTGGTAAGTCAGTCAACCTCCTCTCAAAAATCCTGTGCTCGTTTAATCCTTGAGCTCTAAGGATCGACAGGGAAGTCAAACAGTTTACACCCTCGGACGGTGTGGGACAGTGAGCTCTCAGGTCATGAGGCATTTTGTGCAATCACAGGGTCAGGCACTGGAGGACGGGCAGGAAACAGGCTCTTGTCACCCGTGAACAGTTCATGTCCAGATCTCCGTCTCTCCTCACTTGGTCTTGCCCATGTGCCGGAGGACAGTTAATGTAATAATGACGTGCACTGCGATGTGCGTTGCCATACACCCTCAGGGGTACAAACGGACTAAAGGTCTTTACCTTAACCTTGTTTTCTAGCTAGTCACGACACAGCGCACACGAGGTACGACGGTACGTGCGAAGTGGACCTCGGGTCTGTGGCCTTTCTTCCCAGTTCTGCGCGGTTAGATTCCCACTGGAGTTACCGACGGGCCTTTTGAAAACTAGCTGTGTCAATATTCCCGTGCATTTAATGCTAGGCTGGCACCTCTTCGAAATCTCACAGCCTTTGTCTTTGCGTCACACTCCCGATAGCTTGCCAGCACTGAAACGGCTTTAATAAACATTTTAATGAAAAGCATAAAAACCCTGCAGGTATTTCTAAGGTGCCTGGCCCGCAGCTATTTTGATTACGATGCTTTGTTTAGTGTCAGGGTCTGGTAACGTGGTTCTACTACGTTTCGTCCTAATCCTTGGTACTAATAAACAAAGCTGGGGGCAGGAGGAATTCCTTGTAAATCCTGGTCAGCTGAAGAAACGAAAAGCACTGGTGGAAGGCAGATTCTCCTGTTCAGCGTTACCCTTGCTTGCCACACGAAAGTCCGTCTCGCCCAGTATTTTGCTTCCAAGGGCGACCGGGGTGGAAAGGCTGGAAGAAACTTTTCCTACAGGCGGAGCGGCGTCCCGGGGATTCCCAGCTTCCACTCCTCTGCTAACCCGTCAGTGCGACTGCTACGTACGCAACGCTCTCGGCGCTTTAACTGATGCTTTTACCGATGGGAAGAGCTTTCGCTGTTCAACCGGGATTTTTCCGTAGCTGGTTTATTTTTTTATGGAGATGCAGGGGAAATAATGCGGACGCTGCTTCTAACCGGTGAAAACAGTGCGAGAGGGCGAAACATCCTTCTTCCAGCAATCTTAAGCCTCCCCTTAGCTCACGCAGGGCCCTGCCCCAGCCGTTACCCCCCCAGTTTAATTATCCTTCATCATCTTTAAAAGCTAGTGGAAAGCTTTACGTGCGCGCGCCGAGAACCAGAGGCTCCTATCCTTGCCCAACAAGGCTTCGAGGCAAACGGCTTTTCTCACATTCATCAGATGGAGACTTAATTTGGACAAATACCCCGAGGGAAGGGGCTTCCACCCTGGGACGCCAACCTCTGCTCCAGACCCCTCTTCATCTCCGGCCTTTCCTTCTCGGGCGCTGGCATGCGCTCCAGCGCAGCGGGAGAGAGGTCTCGCCTTTCGCGCGGCCGAATTTTACTGAGCGGAGTCACCGGTTTGCGCGTATCTTAAAAAAAGAAAAAAAAAGGAAAAGGAAAAAAAAGGGAAAAGGAAAAGAAGGCCGCCCTGCCCAAGGCGGGGCCCTACGCCCGCTCTTTGTGGGCAG